TTTAAAATACTTTAGTTAGATTCTTTTCAATGTTTGAAAAATACTGGTAATTGTTTTTAGAATTTTTAAATGTCAAATATTTATGTAGTAATTAAATAAAAATTTATTTCTTTACAAGAGAATTAAATTCCACTGTTATTAAATGTATTCAAAGCGCTATCTGTCGACGGCGTCTGTGAACTAATTTTTTAAACAAACTCTAGAAAAAGAATTTCGATGACATTCCTGATTCAGAATCTATTGAGGATTAGTTACAATAAACATTTTTTAACCGCATTGGATTAAAATTACATTTTTGTTAAGACAAAAATGTAATTTAAATCCAATGCGGTTAAAAGATTAAGATTAATAATACTTTCCTTCCGGTTTTACGTCATTTTCAAAAGTCATGACACAACTATCAAAATTTTTTTTGTTCATGACGTATAAGTTCCAAAGTCGATGTGGCGCCACCTGGCAAACGCGTCACTAAACTATTCAACGAATTTTTAAATCAAAATACCTTTCTTTCTTCTTAATTATGTCTTTTAATAGAAATTAATGCAAGAAAAATGTTTCTCAATAACAAAAGTTTGAGATCTTTAAAATATTATATCAAAATTCATTAAAAAGAATAAATTTTAAAAGGTTTAAAATTAATTTAAGTAAATTTATTGAAGCGTCCAGTTTGTCTATCGCATTAAATTTAAATTATATTTGATCTTTGAGAAAAATAATAAAAGTCGATGTGGAGCCATCTGACGAACGCGTCAGTGAACTATTTAGCAAATTTTTAAAGCAAAAAATATATTTCTCGTTTCTTATTAAAATAAATTTTAATACAAAATCTTCAATTTTTTCTGTAACTTACAATAATTTCTTTTCAAATAACTTAATTTTTTAAGAACTGTCACAAAAATTATGACTTAGGTATAAATTATTTAATGAATAATTTTTTACAATTTTCCAAAATACTAGATTGATAGAAGAATTTTAGTTAAAAACACTGAAAAAAATTGAATTTTGGAAAAGTTACAAATGATTTCAGAAATTCAATTATTTTCAAAACTTCAAAAATTCTTCGCAGAATTTCAATTATGTTAAAAAATTAAAAAAAAAAATTCTCGTCAAAATTTCAATTATCTTTATAAATAATAAAATTTTTCTTCAAAATTCAATTATTTACAAAATTTTAATAAAATTCTAAGCAAAATTTTACGGGTAATTCAATTATTTGCAAAATTTTGAATAAATTTCTTCGAAACAATTCAATTATTTTCATAAGTTATAAAATTTTCACAGCAATTCAATTATGTTCAAAAATTTAAAAAAAAATTCTCGTCAAAATTTCAATTATCTTTATAAATAATAAAATTCTTCTTCAAAATTCAATTATTTACAAAATTTTAATAAAATTCTTGGCAAAATTTCACAGGAATCCAATTATTTACAAAATTTTGAATAAATTTCTTCGAAACAATTCAATTATTTTTATAAGTTATAAAATTTTTACAGAAATTCAACTATGTTCAAAAATTTAAAAAAAAATTCTCGTCAAAATTTCAATTATCTTTATAAATAATAAAATTCTTCTTCAAAATTCAATTATTTACATAATTTTAATAAAATTCTTGTCAAAATTTCACAGAAATTCAATTATTTTTAATACAATTTTAATAAAATTCTTAAGGAAAATTTTAATTATTTTCATAAATAATAAAACTCATTGTAAAATTTTAATTATTTTTGATAAAATTTTAATCAAATTCCTCGACAAATGTGATTATTCTTAAAATTTTTATTAACATTTTTTAAAAGAATTCAATTATTTAAAAATTTGTTAATAAAGTTCTTTATGAGAATTAAATTTTAACAAACATTCAATTATTCAATAAATTATTTATTTTTTAATTTTAGTGATTTAATTCTTCTAGAATTTTCTAATAACAATTGATTTAAGAATGAATTACCGAATAATCGATTTATTATTTATGAAAATAATTTAATTCTTGCAACGAGTTTTATTACATTTTTTTTAAATAATTGAATTTTTTTTTGAGAAATTTTACTACTTGCAAAAATAATTGAATTCTCGCGAAGGATTTTTGTAAATAATTAACTTTTTTTTTGAATAATTTTATGTTAATTTTAATTATTTCAAAACATGAAGAGTCTTTGACTCGTTTGAGTATCTCATAATTTTTAGATTGAATCAGAATATTCTTTAGGGTGAGGGAAAAATTGAAAATTTTGTCTGTAAAGCAGGAAAAAATAAAATTAAATATTTTTGGCAACCCCGATAAAGAATATTCCACTAAAATATTATAAATTCAGAAAATCCTTGAAAAAGCAAATGTCTAAAGTTTTAAAAATGAAATAGTTAGGAGCGCAACCTTGTTTATTGAAATTTACGAAAATTTCATTCAGCAAGGTTGGACAGTTAGGAAAAAATTTCAAAAATCGTTCAGCAGGGTTGGGCAGTTAGGAAAAAATTTAAAAAATCGTTCAGCAGGGTTGGGCAGTTCACGAAAAAAATAAAAAAAACTGGCGCCATCTGCAGGAAGCGTCTGTGAACTAATTGTCCAAACAAAAACTCCCCAGAAGAGAAATTAAATCCTCTTGTCGATTTTAATAATCAATTAATTGTTATATTATCCTATGCTACCGAGTGTGCTTAAGTATCAAAAATTTTCGCCAATTATTAATACGGAAAAAATAACTCCCTAACCATACAAATGGTAAAATGGGATAAAAATCTATTAAGGGTTCAAAATGATTATAATTAAATATCTATTTGACTTTCCTCATCACATTATTTCTTTAAAAAAAAAGATGCTTCTAAATTTAGTACAATATTAACAAGAAAACTACCGGATACTGCGTTCAGGCATGGCTGGAGTGTAGATTCGAGAACCTTGAGTTGAATATTCAACAGTGCTTTTGCTTTACAGGTACTTGTGTACTCGTGTCCCTTTGCCCATAGCTATATAGTATATCCCAAGCTTAAACACGAGCCGACGACGACGACGACGACGTTGTTGAAAGATGCTTGAGAGTTGCATTGTTCTTGTTAAAGTGGGTCACGATCGTCGTTATCCACTGCGTCCAACGTGCGTAAACCTTTCCTTCGGGACATCTTCTTTTTTTTATAGTATTTCTTTTCTTTTTTCCTTTCTCTCTCTCTCTCTCTCTCTCTCTCTCTCTCTCTCTTACAGCACTTTTTATACCGTTGAGAAGAACAATGAGCGACTTTACAGAAAAAAAGAAGAGTGAGGTGTGTGGATGGGGAATGATAAACATTGTGTTTGTGGCTTTCCTGACGAAAGAGGCTTCCCTTTTTTTCCTGCCATTTGGAGTGGAAGGAATGCGATGCATTTGGGATTCAAATTTATCATGAGAGAGAGAGAGAGAGTGAGTGAGGGTGGAATTTATTAGAGTGCATTCAATGTTTTACGATTTTGGTTTCCTGCTCTCGAAATATTCCTGTGTTTTTTTTTTTTTTTTGTAAAATTGATTTGGGAATAGGAAAAGTGCCACAAGGAGGAAAAAGGGGAAAATATTTCTCTATCTGGAATAATTTTTCCTGAATGGGAAAAAAGGTAATTATTAATTCTCCTTTTTTTTCAATGAGTCGGTGATTATCAAGATGCTGTTTTGGAAAATTAGCAGCTTTAAAAAGTTAAATGATTTAAAGAAATTGTAGAAATGAATTTGTGGATCTTTGAGCTCAAATTTGTCTCTCTGAATTGACTTTTAATTGGCTCCTAACACAAATTTGTTTAGGCAAACGAAAATAGCCAGACGCTGCAAAAGCATTAGCCCCCTTTTGAGAGGGTCTTAGTTTGCCGAGGAGCAGGAATCAAATATTTGGTCAAGGATTCACAAGTAGTTATATACAAACCCTGACAAATTACAATAATGACAAACTGACCATTACAGACTGTGTAACCGCACGGTGAAAATAAACTTGAATTAATAATCCTCCTTTCTCAATTATAAAGTTGCTAAAGTATTATATGCGCAGAGAAAAAAAAATCGTTCTAGTGCGCAGAGCACCTGATTTTTTTCCCAACCTTGGAATCAACTGCGCATGCGTCACATCAGAGTGACCACCTATCCTTCTCTTACTCATTCCTACAATTCCTAAATTAGTTAGTTAGTTAGTTTCCTTAATTAGTTAGTTTACAAAAAAAAAAATTCTTCCGAAAACTAGAAATCTTTTCTCTCACCTCCTAAATTCTATCTCAATATTATATTCATTTGCTTGTCGAATTTATAAACCCTTTGACGTTTTGTTTTGATAGGGGAAATGTCCGCATATGGAGTTTGCACAACGTGAGCAATCATCAAACTAACTGCTACAAGTTTATGAAATTATTAAATTTGGTTTAACGAACTCTAAAGGAGAAATTTGTTAGTACAATTAAAATACAACAAATTTTTTAATGATTTATTTAGAACAGAAAAGGAAAAAAATTGTTTTATTTCCTCATAAATAGAGTTAAAATAATATGTCATCGCTTTATGAAGAGTAAACATTTTTTTTTTTTTTTTGATGAAAATAAAATATTGGGAATAATAGGTGTGAAAATGTTGGAAAATAGGTCAGACTCGTTAACTTTCCAATGACTTTGCAACCGTTCAACAATGAAATGGGGAGAGGGGGGGGGGGGGGGGGGTAGGTGCGAATACAGTTTCGACGACAGCTGAAATTTGTGAGTTTTCTGCGCAATTTTTGAAAGCTGGCTTTTGTGGTCAAATAGTCAAACCTCTAATTCACTCGTCCGGAGTGTCCTATACAGAATTTGGAAAATTAATTCTATCCTTTTTTCACAGTATAGAAAAAAGAATTTAACAATTTTCTTTTTTTACAAAATCGATAAGATTTTATAGTGTAACATTTAATCACGTTGGATTATCATTCTTAATTTGGCATAATTATTTTCATTTATTTTTTATTTATCAAATATTTTTAGCGATAATTTGGAAAAAGTGATTGGAAATTTCTCATTTTTACTCACTTGGCACTGTTGTGGACCTTGCCGATTTGGCGAGGATGCTTTTGGCCTTGATTTTTTAACGCCTAATTTTCCGGGATCTCCAGCTCCCGTTCTCGACTCTTCACTACTCCCTGAAAGCAAAAACGTTACAGAATTATTATTTTCTTTAGGTTAATTTTTTATAGCCACCTGGTGGTGGCGTCTGTGAACTAAACCAATAAATTATTTCCTACGTTTTCTCTCTTTTTAGATGAACTTCTCAATTGATTTGTTTAATTTAATTAATTAATTATTGTTTAACTATAAACAATACTAAATACTTTAATTATAAACAATACTATAAAATGAATAACTTCTAAAGAAATTAGACGTGTTTCCCTCTATCGACAGCGTCAGTGAACTAAACCAATAAATTATTTTCCACGTTCTCTCTCTTTGTACATAGGTGAATTTCTAAGTTAAAGTAATTAATTGAATTTCATTATTTACAAGCTAAATGATTTCCAAAGAAATAAGATTTTAAACCACTTGCTGTAGATAGAGGAATGAATTCAATTTTTAACTATAGTTATCTTTCTTCCCTTTCATTTTAAGTAAATTTCTGATCATGAATTATTAACAATTTGGTTATGTTTAACGAGAAAACAATTTTAAAGTTGCTTAAAAGCTTCGCCGACTATGGAAAACCATGTAAGAGAAAAAGTTGAGCAGATATCACTATCTTTCTCACTCAAATATTTTCTATATCCACGCCATCACAGAATGTCACGAGCTGTTAATTTTTAAAGTCACTAGTGCCTGTATCGACGCTTTTTATATATTTAACAATTAAATTAAAATGATTGATTATTAACTTCTGGGATTTTTAGAATTTTTTATGTTTGCCCTCTGTCGGTGGCGTCTGTGTACTAATTTCAGTAATTTTTTTCTGAAAGATCTAAAAACGTCCATTGGACCAAAAGAATTGAAAAACAAAAGACTTAATTTGGAAGTTTAGAAAAGGGGAACAATTATTTTGAAAATTTTGTGAAACGATTAACGATTTTAATTTTACGTTATCTAGTTAGATTGATGAATAGTAAAGTGAATCAATTTAATGGTTCTTTTTCTTGAATACTTTTTGATTACTTTTTTTCCTTTAATTTTATCATAGACTGTTTGTTAATACAGTTGACGATTTTGAGTTTCACACCTGCCCTCTGTCGGAAGCGTCAGTGTACTAATCGTTAACATTTCCTTCTTTCCAAATTGAAAATTATTTTCAAATTAACGAAATGCATTCTGTTAACTATTCTGTTAACTTTTTTTATATTTATATACTTAATTTGTAATACATTTTAAAATCCTCCCATTTGTAGGATGCGCTTGTCATTTAACACGACAGCATCGACTCGTACAAGATTGATCGTTTCAACAATTTTTTTCTTTCTGCCAAGTCCACGATATCAGAAGAGACTTAATGGCCAAATGCCTTGATGTCGACATCGATCCTCTCACCCAAAAAGGTAAAACGAAGAACAAGAACCACCTCTGATAAGCGGATGCTTTCAAAAAACAATTTTTATTAGGGCATTGCTCGCGACATTGACCGACGAGCAAAGATATAAGAACATGTTTCTTTTTCACAATTTCCCCAAGGGGAAAAAAAGTTAATATAGTCAGATTTTATTTAATTAGAAATAAAATAGCCTAGGGGAATTACATTTTTTAAAAATCTAATTCATTGAATTTTAATAATGGAATTTAGTTTCTAGGGCAAAATGTAAAAATTGGGAGTATTTACTAATTTTCTTATGTTTATAGATATGTGTGACTTTTGGCGTCATTAGAGTAATAATCTGGTAATTAGAAAGCCTTGATGTAGAGTAGGTTAATGAGCCTCGACGGAAGGTGTCAGCCGCAATACGCGGATTAGGATTGGAAACGCGTTTATAATTCAATTAGAGCGCGAGAGAAGGTGCACTTTGTAGGGAAACATTCTCAATAGATTACAAGACATTTCGTTATGATTTATAATTATCCGAATGTTGAAATTCAATCTCTCGGTGTTGGCAAAAGGAATTAGTTCACTGACGCTCGCGCTTGGAGGCGCCACTGCGACGCGATTAGAAAAGTTGATTGTTTCTTTGTTGTCCCCTTTTCTTTTTTTAGTGAAACATGTAGAGACAAGAGTTGGATGTTGGAAAATGCAATAACTCGAAAGACGTGTTCGATTTTCTCTAGACTTCTCCCACTGGGGAATAGTGACGAAAGCGAATTAAGTTTCACGTGGACAAAAAAAAGTGCATTTATAGAAAGAAAGTGAAATTCAATTTTGGAAGACTGTAGAATGAAATCCAGAAGCTATTTCAGTTCTGGAATGACCCGGCAACACTGGAAAGAAAATTGTGGTTGGTGCAGGAAGATCGAAGGGACGTATTATATACATACATATATATATATATATATATCTATATGAAACCTCGTGACCGTAAAGCGAGCGATAAGGGTATAGAGAAACGGAGATGGAGATATTTGTAGAGAACAGGTAATTTTGGTCGGTAATTACGAGCGTTGATAATGCCTTGATTGCTAACGCGGAATTAGCGGTAGAATCTAATTATGTGGCATTATCGTTAAATCTGATCACTGACGGACAATGGTCTCTTTCTGTCCTGTGCGAGATCCCCTTTCTCAATCCCTTAATATTAAAATTCGTTCTTATTAAAATCCTATTATTGAAAATAATAACATTTTTTTTTGATATATCAAATTTAAGAGGAGTTTTTTTTTATCTCTAAAGTTCAATCAGAAAATTACTCGTCTCGCACGATAAATATTTTAATCTTCATAGGGTTGTAAAATTATAATGATTTTTAACAGCCCGTCCTACCATTAAAAGCTTGCAACATTAGTTTAGTTGCGCCACTGCCTGAATAGACTATTTCTCCCCCGCTACTGAACAGGATAGCACATGAAGTAAACGAGAGAGAGTGTGTACACTTGTGTGTCCGCTAACAAAGTCAACACACAAGTGCCACAGATGAAGCTTCCCCGAGTACGTGAGTACGTACATAAACTAAATATATTCGAGCATATAGATATGGAAGTCGGTATAAAGCTCGCAAAATGCTGGCATAAATTTTATGAACCTCGAGCGAGTCCGGAAAATTGCCCGGACTCAGGGTAAACTAGTTTGAAGAGGAACCTTAGCTAAGAGAGAGACAGAGAGAGAGAGAGAGAGGAGCAACATGGGTAACCAAGATCCTGGGGAAATTTCTACCAAGATGGTCCTCTATTCCTTTTATGCACTCAAGTTTAAACGACATCGACAGTCAGCGATTCTTTATACCATCCTCCCTCTACGTTTAACAATACCCTCGAAATTGTTTTTACGACGGATCTAAGATACAAGACCAGAAAATTGAAATAGCCTATTTACATAATGGAAATTTCATATTCTCGACTGTATTACGAAATATTTACTCGATAAAGAAAAAGCGGCACACGAAATTTGATCGTAAAAATATTTTTCGATAATTTATGCTTTTTTTTGTTGTTGTGCAATTTAACACGGAAGTCTGGAATGCAAAAAGGGTTGGTGCGCCATCTCTCGCTGGCGTCGGTTAACTAAATATGTTATAGATATTAATTACTTTGTTTCGATTTATTTTAAACCCTTTTTCGATTCTTCCTTTTTTTTATCTCAATTTTAAAGGCACAAAAGTAAGGGAAGGTAATTATAACAAAAATTCTTGTTAACTACAAAAAGTAGATCTAATTTGTAAATAGAAAGAATGAGATAGAAGAGTAACTTATACAAACGAAATGTGTACGTTGACCTTTAGGAACAGATAAAATTTACTCAATGCGCCATCTATCGACGGCGTCAGGTAACTACAAAAATTGCTTCAAATTTTTGTAAAAATGGTAGAAAGACTTGTAGCTACAGTAGATTCATAAAAGTTAATTTTAAAATTTAGACCATTTTCAGTCAATAATGTATAAAATATTTAGAACGCCATCTGTCGATAGCGTCAGTTAACTACGGGAAGAATTTTTATTTGCATGCACCCGTATATAATTTGGCCACGAACTAATAAAATAATGGTAGAAATGACACGGTCATCAAAAAGGTATGCAAATCATGACGCATTGTATAAGAAGTAAAATGCGACATCTACTGCTGGCGTCAGTTAACTACAAAGCGAAAAACATTTTCTAGACTTGAAAAAAAATTCCACAGAATTATTTGCTCGATATTTCGAGCATTAATAACAGTAAGAAGTACACTAAAAACTTTTTTTATTTCCTCTATAGGATGAGATTAACTGCCCAGTACGCCATCTGTCGTTGGCGTCTGTTAACCACAAAAACAGAAAATCTTCCAAGATTAATACTTTTTTTTCCATTGGGTAAGGAAAATTAACGGAACTTTTTTGTTCAATATTTTTTATGATTAGTGCGGAAGATAATAGAGGAAAATTGAGTTGAAATGAGATATATATATAGTTTAGGTAGACAAGAAAATATAGTATATATAGATGGGAAAACTCGGTTCGTTGATTCGGTGGAAGCAAAACCAATATACGTTAAAGGGAAACTGGGGTATGGGGCTTAGGGGTGGAGAGAACAATATTATATATGGTATAATGGCCACAGAATTGGAACAAAACATTCGATGATCGTCGCCGAGATGGTTCCTTTGCTTTTTATCTCAAAACCAAAGCTGCTATATTACGTGGGGGTAACGTTAATTTTAAACTATATAACACTTTACGCACAGTACACACCGTTTGTGTCCAGCATCATGACGAAGTGCATTTCAACCACAGTGTGCAGTGATTTTTCACCCGTGACTCTTTATAAACTGCCATCGCTTTATTACACCCAGACACACACACACACACAAATGCAAAAATTTCTGCCAGGATTTTGCAGGCAATTTTACACCAAAAATCTAGATCCAAATGCAGATGTAGCATTCTCTAATATACTAATCACTAACCAACATCAACCTACGTTTCAATGGTCATGTAGAGATTTTTTTTCCTGTAAAATACTTAAGATTTTTTTTCTGAAATGAGAAGAAAAAAATAGACATTTTTTCCTTCTCATTGCAGAAAAAAATCGAAAAATTAATCAAAATATA